AGGTCTTCTAGTCTGACTCCTGCTCAAGCAGGGAAACCTAGCCGTGGACTTACAAACAGTCCATTTAGTGACTGTCCGGAAACTACAAAGGCGCTGAAAAAAAGTGACTTCTGACCATTTTTCACACTTATGATCTTTGCAGCAACCGCCACAGTCACGTGATCAAAATTCGGACAGAACAGAATAGAATAACAAGAGTTAGAAGGGAGTTTGGAGGTCTTCTAGTCCAACCCCCGTCCTTCTTTTCATCAGACTAGACACACCCAATTCCCGCAACTGTTCTTTCAGCCTCCAGTCCCCTAATCATCTTTGTGGCTCTTCTCTGAACTCTTTCTAGATCAGAGGTCTCCAAACTTGGCAACTTTAAGACTTGTGGACTTCCAACCACAAGTCTTAAAGTTGCCAAGTTTGGAGACCTCTGTCCTAGATGCTTGGCAGCTGGTTCCTATTTATGACGGTCGAGGACTAACTGCAAAGCTAGCAACAGAACGGAAAAATCCAAGTTAGCAACTTTAGCAGAGGTGCTCGATTCAGGGGTTCCCTTCCCTGTACCCCACAAGTCACTGCCACTATCTTGCTTTCTGAGCAAATTTACCTAACCGGATAGAAAAAATAGGATTTGTTGACCCCGCAGACGCGCCAAATCCTCTCAGGTGCCTCTCTGGCGTTCATCCCTTTGTGTGCTGCTATCAATTAAGATTAACAACAGCCTTTATCCCTGCCTGCCAAGAATATTGCCGTACATCCCATCATCCTGCACGGGAATTTTACCACGAGAAGCCACGGAGGCGGTCAGGTTAGGAAGAAAAGGTTCTACTTAGTGCACCTGGAACAGCAAGGGAAGAAAAAAAGAACAACCCACAAATCCTGCAACAAATGGGGAATTTATCTATCTATCATCTGCGAAAGACCCCTCACGCATCATCACAAAACCATAAAGCTCACGCATCATCTCCAGAACCATAAAGCTTACAAACTTGAAATTTGGCACGTATGTTCCTCTTGGCTTCTAGGGGCTCACTAAGAGAGGATTTTTCAAAATGACCATCAGAGCATTAGTATTACCTATATTATTATTATTAACACGCTCTGATGCTAAAGAGTTCTACTCCCCCTCCCAACTGAAAAGAAATCTCTTCCAAGTGCCAAACACAAGTAGAGGAGTTTCAGTTTCAGAGCACCAAGCAGCTTTAGGATAGAACAGTTGAGCTAAGCCACACCCAGGCTCCTTGCTGTCTCCTTCTTGCTCACAGAGGAAATACTGCTTCACTTTCCAAACAGCCCTCAACTCTCTCACACGCTGACAGGATGCTAGCCAGGTGAATATCGATGGATGCTGGTAGGCAGAGGCAGAATTCCACCCCATTATTTTCCTCCCCCCAAACTAAGCCCAACCACATAGTTTCGTAGCGAAGCACGGGTATCCAGCTAGTAAATCATCAAAAACGTGAACGGTTTTATTTTCAGACGGAATTCTGCTTTTCGCATCTCCCTGATACGAAGCAAAAGGCCGCAAAGTTTCAAATTCCCACTGCTATGGCTACACTTCCCTTCCTCCTTCTCCTCTGCTGAGAGACCCATAATTCTGTTCCACTTCTCTGTTTCCCAGCTGGGCATTTGAACAAACTATAGACCCAGAGGCTGGTGGGGTGGGCGGGATTTCCCCTCGTTTCCCTAGGCTTCCCTTCCGTGCGTTGCCAATTTCGGGACCAATTACTGGAGCAGAGACTGCATTAAGGTCTCTTTCCTTTTACTCTGGAGTAGAAGGAGGAAGGTTTGAAGGGGCGAACCAACATCTGGATGTGCGAAGGATTACAGAAGTCGGTTCTACTTGCGGAAGCAGAAGCCAGCCGGACGAGCGAAAATATTGAATCACTGGACTGGAAGGACAGAGTGGATAATTCAATTTAGCCTTCCTGCTCTCCACTTGGCCCCGAGCAGATTTTTTTTTTATTACCCAGTCAATGCTGGGGGACCGTTTTTAACTCTGCACCTCCCTCCTCTCTGGAAATTTGTTGCGATCTTTGACGCAAACTGTCCTGCCACCCCCAAAAATAATAACAACAACAACACCCGTGGTCTACAAGAGGGCTAAAAAATTAGGCTGCGAGAATCCCACCAACCACCAGCAGAGGGCAGCCGAGAGGTGGCATTTCCTGTGCCTTTGTCTCTCTCTCTCTCTCTCCTGCCCTCTAATGGTGACGTAGGTTTTCACAACACGAGAGAAAAAGCAAAATCCCTTCTTATTGGGTGGGTGAGGGTGATCTTAACCACACACTGCCTTACTCCATGATTAAGAGATGTCGGTAATACCTCCCGGGTCCCTGGTGGGCCAGGCTGAGTGAGAAGCAGCTAAGTGTTGCATCAGAGATCTTAAGAACACCTCAATCATTGACAGCCGCTCTGAGAGAGCAAAATCGATGCAGCAATTAGATTTTATCAGCATCCTCCCTCTCTCCCTCTCTCTCTGTCTCTCTCTCTCTCTCAATCTTTCTCTCTCTCAAATCTCTCTCCAGCCCCTTCCTCTTTTCCATGAGCTCACGAGGCCACATTATAACTGGGCTGGGGGTACATCCTGGCCTCAAGGAGACCATTTTCCATTTGCAGGCTGGGGGGTTTCTTTTGGGGGGTGGGGTAGGTGGGTGTGAGGTTAAACGATGCCAAAAGCCACCAGAGCCCTTGGCAAGCTGGATGTTTGTGCAATTAGCAGGATGCGCTTTGAAAAACGAAACACGGAGTGCAAAGATAATCCAGGACTGTGGCAAGAAGGCGGCTTGGCTCGATTCCTGAAGACTAAGACAGCATCTTGCCTCACGCTGAACCATTATCAAGTGCTGCAGAGGTGGGGAGGCCACCCAATCTCCAGGGTTTCCTCCCCCCCCTTTTTTTAAAGTGATGGGTACCTTTTAGCCTCCTTCCCAAACCCAGGAGAATCTCGGGGGGGGGGGGGGAAGAGGCAGGAAGGGAGCAGGCTCCTCACTGTATTGGTTAAAAAAAAAAAAAAAGATGGTTAAAAATTTCGGCAGCAAAGGGACAGAACCGAGGCTGCAAACTCCAAACAGCGGTGGTCTCTCCAGTGGCGGGATTCACCGGTTCGCACCAATTCGGGAGAACCGGTTGTTAACTTTCCCGTTTGGAGAACCGGTTCTTGGAAGAAATCATTAGGGCAGAGAACTGTTGGTTAAATTCTTTGAATCCCATCCCTGGGGGTCTGTGGATTGAACCCCTGTCCCTCTGCCCAATAATTAAAAACTAAAACGAGTAGACGGACGGACGCGCCTCTGTATACGTTTCGGGGTTTGGTAAAGTTTTGCCGACGGGCACCCAAGGAAACAAAACAGACCTTGATTCAGCTTTGAGCATATGAGCAGGTTAAAAATGGGTTCTACTTACACAATTTGGGGAAGGGGGGAAAGTGGGGGCGGGGAAGAGGGCAGTGGGTGGGATTCAAAAAAATTTAACAACCGGTTCTCTGCCCTTGCGATGACCCCAAGGGGCCTGGCAGAAAAGCAACGAAGTCACAAAAGTAGGTGAAGTCCCTTTAATTCCTCCAACCTGGCCTCCAATGTCCAGTTATCATCGGCTGGAGAAAAAGAACTCTCCCAAGAACAGTCTTTAAAGGGCAGAAATTCAGTCCGAACCCAAAGTAGGTGTAGATTGATTATAAATAAAAACCAACACAAACCACTTGCTGCAGCAATTAACGAGACGGGGCAGGAGAAGGGATTGCAGACTTCCAAAAGATAACGAAACACACGCAGTTGGGAGGACGCCAGAACCCAGATAAGGCATGACAAACCAAGTTAATTTCACGCTTTGCTTCCAGCAACTTTGCTGTGTGTAGTTTGCCTTTTTAAACAGTCTTCCCAGCTGCAGCTAATGAAGGGGATCAGGGCCCTTTCCTCCCCCGTAAGCCATGCAGCCCACATTGCTCCCTTCTCTGTTCCTTCTTGTGTGCCCTAGGATGAAGAGGGTGTGGGCCTGGGTCATCCTCCAAATTCCTCTCCCTTGCTCTACATCTCCCGTGCTCTGCCCAGCCAGACTTTGCCCTTCCCCAGTTTCTCCCACAGCCACCGGAGCCACACTCCCACTCCCTGTCAGCTGATCCTCCTTCTCTCGGTGTCAGATTCCAACAGGGGAATGACAGCCCTCATGATTTCTTCCAACAACCAGTTCGCCAAACTGTGCGGAAAGTGAATGACCAGTTCTCCCAAACTGGTGCGAACCAGCTGAATCCCACAACTGGGAGAGGGTCCTCCCTTCTAGATCACGCCTCTCTTTCGAAGTTTTAAATGCCTTCTGAACCCCTCTTCCCTCCCAAGCCAATCGACTCCCTCGTTCCTTCCTTACAGGGAGCTGGGAAAATATAACCATGTTTTCCAAAACAACAAGATACCCGTATCCTCTCTTTTCTGGGCTTATCTCTGGGTCTCAAGCACAGCTGAGTTTATGTGATGCTGCCCAGCTTTGCGGGGAAACTTCTGGGGTGAACGACAGCTGAAGGGCACCTTCGCTCGTCTGCCACCCACCTCCCCATTTCTCCACTGGGGAGGAGGGAGAAAGAGATTGACCTTTCCCTCTCCCCCTAATTCTCCCCCTAATTCTGAGGGCAGACAAGCCGCGCCGCGCTCTCTGTTGACGCTCCGAAAAGGTCAAACGGCAGCAGAAGGTGCAAATAAGGGGAGGGGGAGAAGGGAGGGAGTGCAGGGAGGGGGGAGCCCTCCACACACACACACACACACACACGATCCGCTTTTGATTAATGAAATTACACAACCCACCACACAGCCTCGTTTTGCACCGCTGCCTGCCAAACTCCCCCGGAGGCTTGTTCAGTTTCCGGGGCTCGAAAAACACACACAGGTGGCCGAATCCAGGAGCGGATTTCAACACCCTCCCATCCACGCCCTTCTCTCTCTCTCTCTCACACACACACACCCCTACGTGCAAACACCACACACACAAAGCAGACTCCCTCCGCGTTCCTGTGTGCTACTTACCTGCTGCTCCCAAGCCAACTTCCAGGCTGCTTCGTTTGAACTCACAGCGGTTCTGGGTCTCGGGCATGCCGAGCTGCCGGCTCTGGTTAAGACTGGAGAGGAAAGAGGTCAGATCACCGTTTTGGCTGTGAAGGAGAGAGAGAGAGAGAGAGACAGAGAGAGAGGAGAAAAGGGCTCACATCAGCATCTCCGGGAAACCTTCTCCGCTGCGCCCCTCCAGGATTTAACCAAGCCCCTCTGTCATCTACAAGTTTTCCTTCCCGCTTCTCTTCTGTTTTTTTTGTCTATGTCCCTTCTTTTCGCGCACAAGCCTGTTTTTAATTTCATCGCACAAACCGAATCGTGCATTTTAAAAAAAGCGAGCTGGGATTTTTTATTGTTTTTTTCCCTTTTGGCTTCTAAGCTGCCATGTGGATTGGAGATGGAGAGGTTTGTTGGTTTTCTGGGCCAATTTTTAGGAAGTGGGGAATTGTGCGAAGGTTCTTTTTTTCTTTCTTTCTTTCTTTCTTTTCTTCCAGCACTCCCCTCTCGTCAAGGAAAATCCACTTGCTGCAAACAAGGGATTGATCTAAAGGCAGCAGAGGAAGTGTGTGTGTGTGTGTGTGTGTATCTGGAGAAGGACGTCCCCTGTCCAAAAGATTCAATCAATCACCCGATTCTCAGGGAGATACCGACAGAAAAAGGAAGACGACATTTCCAAATTGGTTACCATCCAGCACTCCACAGAACCATCCACCACGCTGCTCGAGGATGATGGGAACCGTAGTCTAATTGTTCCACCCCTTTTGGATCAACAGAACAATTCACAGGGCGGTGGGGGGGGAAACATGTGACTCACTTGGAAAGGTAGGGGGAAATTGTCGCAGGCCTTATTTATTTATTTGTTAAACTGATTTGCCACCCAACTCCCCAAAACTCTGGGCAGTTCACAGGTAAAACCAAAAATATTTTTTTTAAAAAAACTCTGCGTTTTTAACTATCCACACAGGACGTTTATCCAAATTGTTTTTTTTCCGAGAGCGAAGGTACTTGCAAAGCACAGACGCAGTTTAATAACTGGGACCCCGGATTTAAGATGAATTTGCACCCGGTCTTTGCATTTTCACAAACCGTGCACAAGATCTGGTTGTTTAAAGGGAATCGGCAATAATAAAAAGAAAGAGAAAAACAACGTGCACAAGAGCAGACATTCATGGAAATGGTCAGCGCTTAAAATACACACAAACACACATCACATTCCTCGGTGCTGTCACTCAAATGGCTCTCCATGCTCCTGAATACATCAACCCTTATTACAGTGTTGATTCATCATTTCAGAATCGAGCAGCGTTTTGCTAAAGACCGGTCTAAAAACAAAAGAAACGCAAACTTCCAGGATAAAGGAAGAAGAAAACCAGGAAGGGGGACATTTCTGAAGAGGTTAAGGCTTAAGGTTGCACCTTAAAAGTCCCCAAATTTGCCAAATCTGAATTAGGACCAGCCCAAATCCGTAGACTGTGAAGTTTTCCAGAACCCCATCAGCAGACAAGAAGAGTCGGGGAGGGGGAAAAAGGCAAGGATTTGTAAATTGCAAACCTGTTGCGTCCCCAAAATCCACAGGCATTTTACTCACCTGATCCGGAGAGAGATGAAAAAAGGATACTATCTGGAATAGTACCCTCGGCTGAACACTTTACAAGTCCTCCTTTCCAAACAGCACATGCATGCACACACACAACGATAACCCACAATGTTTGTGGGTTACAACACACCCACAAACACGCTACGTCCCGACCACAGTTTAAGAGAAAGGGCACTTCACCCTGCGTAATCTGTCGTCCCCGTACATGTGGACATCTCAACATTCAGCAGGCAAAAATGTGATTTCCCCCTCCCCCAAAAAGGCCCGACGCACCTGAAGAAGTCACCTGCCGATTCCCACAGGTGTTATTTCCCTCCTTAGCCTCTTCCTTCCCCAACGATCCCAACCGCAGCACCACCCCTTTTTCGAACCCAGCGTTAAGATTGGAAAGCTTACTACGCCCAGCCAGACTAATTCGCAGGTGAGAAGGCAGCTGGCTTATGGATTGATCTGCGTCCCAGAAGGCCAGTAATTCTTAAAGCTTATCGTAGCCTAGAAGCACCTCGGAGGTGCATTAGGCAAAAAAAAAAAAAAAAAAAAGAAAATGTCTGCAAAGGAGTTTAGAGGATTAATTCGAGGCGATTATCGGTTCCTATTCATCATGCAAATCGATACACCTCTGCATGCAGGACAGGGAAAAGCTGCCATCAACGTAATAGGCCAAGGGCATACGTCCATGCATGAGGCTGTCCAGCTTAAACTCCCATCCTGCTTGAAAATACTCAAGCGCATTGAAGAAAAGAAGGGGTCAAGCTATTGTCCAAAGCGCCAAGGCTGGAGAAGAACCAACAGATGGAAACTAATCAAGGAGAGAAGCAACCTGGAATGAAGGAGAAACTTCGTAATGGAGGACAATTAACCATGAATATTAATAACAATTAATAACAATTAATATTCAAAATATTTCTTATTATTTCATAGTCACTTTTTTTTTCAGTGCTTGTCGTAACTTTGAACGGTCGCTAAATGAACTGTCGTAAGTCAAGGACTACCAGCAGTACCTCTTATAACATATACAACTGCAGGATGTTTAGGGGAAAAAAAACCAACCTGTGCAAATGGGTTTAACATCTGTACTGATTACCTCAATTAATGGGAATGGCTACCTTTATAGGTAAGACGTAAGGGTATGACGATTCATTTAATGACCGTTCCAAGTTACAGTGGCACTGAAACAAAGTGATGTCAGCTTTGGAAGGCATATTGGCACCAGATGCTTCCACGCTGCCACATTCTTGAGCCTGGGAAAATGGGAGGAGGGGAATTTCTTGGGAGCTATACGTTTAGACATAATAGCATTCTTTTTCTAAGTCAAGGTCATGTTATTACTGCACCTGGGTGAAGGGACGACTCAAGCTGGAATGGATGGTGATTGGAGCATGTGATGCAATGATGGGTACAGGGGGTGCATTTGTAGTTTTTTTACTTATTGCAAGGAAACTCAGAACTTTCAGAATCGGGATTTCCCAGATGGGCCAGTTTACTACCCAAATAAAAAAAGAACTTTTGAAAGAATGTCTGTCTCGGAGTTATTGGTTGGAGTGGGGGTTTTCTGGAACGCTGACATGTGACGCGCTTACAAAACCTTTCAGTCGTGTGAAACCCCGAGAAGAAGAAGAAAAAAACCAGGACTAAAACAGCTTTTAACAAACATCTCCAGTTTGGAAGTGGCTCCAGAGGTCCAGTAGTGTGGGAAGCGGTGGGGGCCATGATTGACCAGGAGATACCCTTGGTGGAGTGGGATGGGGAGTGAAACCCCCGTGCCTTCCTTCCCCTCTTGGCCACCAACATCTGTGCCTAGCAAACAGCTGGATGAGACTTAATAGGGTCTGTTTCTGGTTTTCCTTCCAGGATGCCCTGCAAAGTTTGCGCCAACTTTTGATTGTTGTAAACCTTGGCTGTTTTCCTGCGCTGTTTATGTTTTATTCCCCCGGGCACCCGCCCAATGGGAACGGGTCCAAGGGTTCTTGAACTTTCCCGGCAAGGGGAGTTTGGAGTCCTTTCATCCCCGCCAAAGAAGGAACACCCCTCCCCACCGTTCCATCCTCCCCCTTGTGTGCATCCCAGTAATTCAAAGCAGAGCCTGAAGGACACGGACTCCACAGAAAAACCCCGTAAGAGACGCAGTGCAAGGTCAGCGTCTCTGCCGGGGAGGTAAAACCATGGCTTCTGAGTCAGCCAAAAGCAAGGAAGGAGATCCGACAGACAGCAGCTGACAGCTCCTTGATCCGAGCCCCCTCCTTCCCTCCCCCCTCCTCTGAGCCCCCACACCTACCCCTCGCACAACAAATGCTTTGCCTTCCTCTTCCCGTGATTGGCAAGTCAGTGGCAGGCAAAACAGGCCAGAGAGGATGAATTGTTCTGATCGAGGCTTCCCGAGACCATAATTAAGCACGTGCTTAGTTAAAACAACTTTGGTTTTATTTCAACGCTGGGAATTATGTGCATTCCCAGCCTGTAATGAGTCCCAAACAGTCCCCTGAGATAAGCACCCACCTTTCTTCTCCTTTGAATTGCTGCCAACAACTAAAGTGCCAAATAAACTGTAAAAAGCCACCGGAATACAAAGTCCACGCAGAGCTTCAAGATTGAATCCGAACAGAGTGAACGACTTTGCTTCCCGCAAATGACTTAATGACCAAGTTGCCAGGCCCAGTTCTCATCGCTAAATGAGGACTACCTCTATCAGCTCACATTATAGGAAACGGCGAGGCAGCCTAGTGGTGAAGACGCTCACCTCCCACTCAGAAGGTTGAGAGTTCAATCCTAGGTAGCAATCCTTGAGAGAGAAGAGAAAATATCTGCTGTGAACTCCGGATAGGCGTTGGGAAGAGCAGCCAGCCAGTAAATGCTCAGCTCCATCCAGTCACTCTGACTGTGCCCTGAATTAAGGGATTCCAGGGTCGACTGGACATCCACTTGTCTGGAATGGTAGAAGGACTCATGCTTGAACAGGGGGTTGGACTAGAAGACCTCCAAGGTCTCTTCCAGCTCTGTTATTCTGTATTTTGAGGGTTTTTTTTTTTAATATATTGTGTATTGTTTTTGAGCAAGTAAGGATTTCCTTCCTTCCACAAGAGGCAATGGAGCGTTTTTACAAGAGAACACCACTCATCGCTTAAAAAGAAGAGGCATGCTTTGAGTTACACTAACACAACAGCCATGTGTGTTAACTTCAAAGCCCTGGGAAAGGAAAGAAGGAAGAATTGCGGCAACAGACCTAAAAAGATAACAATCTTTTCTTCTTTCAGGAAACAGAGGAGGAGGGGGGAGAAATAGAAGCCATTTCACTTGTTACTAAGATTTGATGCCAAGCGGAGGAAGAAACCAGCTCGTTCCTAATTAAGATTTTATTTTTCATCAAGGACGGCAGAGATATGGACCCCAAGGAGGGGGTTAGACGGCACAAGGACAACAAACAAAGGAAATTAAGAGAGGCAGATCAAAGAAAAAATAAAGGGAAGAAGGCAGATTTAAGGATCACACACACACACACACACACACACACACACCCTTCAAAAGGTGCCTGTTGTGGACTGCTGGCAGCCTGTGAAGACAGTCAGACAGTGGGGACGGACATGGGCTAGTCCGGGAATCGGACGAGGGTCCTGCATCTGATGCAGAGATGGGGCCGGGGCCATCTGCTGACTCCGGAGCCTCCAGAATCTGACAGCAGCGAGGCAGAGGAATAAGGGGAGCCTGTTCCCAGTGTGCGTATGCACAGAGCTGCCAGATGGCAAAAACAGTTAAGACAAAAGGGGTGACTCGCGAGTAAGGCTTGGAGGTGATTGGCCCTCCCATAAGACATAAAGGAGGAGCAAAGGGACAGGAATCTTTGCAGGAAGCAACTTTGTTCGTACTGGTCGGTTTGAAACCTGAAGCTTGGTGTCAAATTTGTATTCTGTTTTGGCCACATATCACTAACTGGAAATGTAGTCGTTGGCAGCATTTCAAGGAAGATAAAGGTGCATGCTGATCAGACTTATCCTGAAGGACTTTGGCAGACTTCCATGGGACTCTTTACCAACTCATTACAGGCTGTGAATGAATAAAATTCACAGCCACTGAAATAAAGAAAAAGGGGGTTTGGGGACTAAGGTGTGTTAGTGTCTCCGTAAGCCTTGATCAGAACACCTGCTGATTTGGGAAGGGAAGACTTGAAAATACTTGGCATCTCTGCCAACGTGCCAAAATTCCAAATGCAAAAGTTCAGGATAAAAATGGAAGCAAAGATTAAACCCTTATGGGGACGGGGGGTCTTTCTCCCTTCTTTTTTAGTCTCCCTGCTTCTCTTTTATCTTCTTCTCTTCTGTCAGAACCTCCCAGAAATCTGGATATTTCAGCCCGTTTTGGAAATGATCGTCAGATGTACCGTCGGGATTTCACTTCGCCTTTCTTCATGACCGAGTTGCCATCGTGGACGCTAAATGAGGACTATCTGTATTCCTACTCTAGGGGGCCCCCAATCTCTTTGTCGGGTTCCTCGTGACTTCTGAACAACATTCACACCTAAGCTGGTCACAAACGAGGATGGGAAGCGA